CCAGAGAAGGGTTACAAGAGACACTTGGTTGTTCTCCATTTGATCTCGTGTTCGGACACCAGGTAAGAGGTCCATTGAAGATGCTTCAAGAGAGGTTGCTTGGTGATGTCTCTGTTGATCAGAGTGGACGCTACTTGAGTAATGTCAAGAACAAGTTGTGTTGTGCAAAAGAGTTGGTTATGAAACATTTTGGGAAGACTCAGCAAGAGATGAGGCAGCGATATGACAAGAAGTTTAAGACAAAGCTCAGGTCGTTTGCTGTTGGTGATTTGGTGTTGGTGTTGAAACTTTGTCTAGGGACTTCCATGTCCCATAAGTTTGAAAGGACCCTACCAAGTGGTAGAAAAGTTGGGAGATTTGTCTTATAAAGTGTCTAACACTAATATTTCAGGACAACACATGATTGTACACTTAAATAGTTTAAAAGCCTATTGTGGAACAGGTGTTGTAGGTTGTTTTGGTCAGGAGGAGCTACCACCTGAGGAGGATTGTAATGAGGGGAAAGATGTTAACATTCCTTATCTCAGTTCCAGTTCCGGAAGGAAGGAGATGCTATGTCATTTACAGGAGCAGCAGCGTGATGAGTTCGAGGTCCTGCTGGACACATGCGAATCTGTTTGGTGGAGATACTCGCTCAGACTCATCTCATCACCGACGACATCCAACTGCTTGACAACACTCCAATTCGACAGCATCCATACAGAGTGAATCTCGAGAAAAGACAACTCATAGAGCAGGAAGTGGATTTTCTACTTCAACATAAAATCATACGTCCAAGCTAAAGTTGGGGTTCTCCCTGTTTGCTGGTACCAAACCCAGGGCGAACCTGGCGGTTATGTGTGGCCTATCGTAAATTAAACAAGGTAACAACAATTGATGTGCTCCCCTTACCATTGTTAGAAGAGTGTATAGACCAGATTGGTAATGCTCAATCTGTATAAAAACTTGATTTGTCTAAGGGTTACCGTCAGATCTTTCTAAGTGATTATGCTAGGAAAGTGACAGCCTTTATTACACCTGATGGTGCATATGAATTTAATGTAATTCCTTCTGGCTTGAGAAATGCTCCTGCCACTTTCCAGAAACTTATGAATTTTTTCTGCTTAAGGACGCGCCAAATCGCAGGGCATACCTAGATGATATAGTCTTGTATAGTAAGTGTTGGACAGACCATCTGTCAGGTCTTAAGAAATTATTTCAATTGTTGCAGAATGCCAATTTAATAATAAATGTCAACAAGTGTAGTGGGGCAAAGGGCACTATAATCTATGATGAACAGGAAGTGGGACAGGGTAAGATACTTCCTTTGCAAGATAACATACAAGCAATAGTGGACTATCCAGTGTTAACTAGTAAAAAGGAAGTTTAAATATTTATTGGAATGTATGCTTACTACAGGCGGTACTGTAAGAATTTTTCTACAGTTGCTGCCCCATCTTCTTGAGGTTATCTTGAGATGATTTCGGGGCTTTAGTGTCCCCGCGGCCCGGTCCTCGACCAGGCCTCCACCCCCAGGAAGCAGCCCGTGACAGCTGACTAACACCCACGTACCTATTTTACTGCTAGGTAACAACCCCATTAACAAATTTGTTGCGAAAGCAAGTGAAATTTAAGTGGACACAAGATTGTCAACCTTTATTTCAGAATTTAAAGGGAATACTATCTACGTCACCTGTTCTATCCAGCCCTCAATATGACAGACCTTTTATCCTGCATATTGATGCGTCTGACTTAGGAATCGGTGCAGTTCTTATACAGGTTGGCCTTGATAATATTGAACACCCAGTTTACTATTCCTCTAGAAAATGTAATAAAGCGCAGAAGAACTGTTCAGTAGTGGAAAAAGAGGCACTAGGTCTCATCCTATCTGTTAAGAAATTTGAAATTTACCTGTCAGGTAATAAAGTATTAGTTTTCACAGATCACAATCCACTTGTCTTCATCAACATGATGAAAATTAATAATCAAAGGATTCTAAGATGGTCCTTTTTCCTACAAGAGTTCAATGTAGAGATTCAGCATATCCTTGGTAGGCAAAATGTAATTGCAGAAGCTTTATCTCGGAGTGTTGTGTTTGATGTAACATAATAATATGAGATATGTTTATTTTAAATTTTCATTTTAATAGTTTTATTACATTCTTACTTTCAGAAAAAATGCCATTGATCTTTAATCAATGGCATTTTTTTCTCTGAGGTGAGGGTGTGTTACGAAGCCCTAGTTATGGATACTCACATTATTTCATGTAACATAAATTGTGGAAATTAATTTGTTTATATGTACATGTGTATGCTTTTGTAAAGTGCAGTAGAACTTGGCAACATTAGGTGGAAGAGGAGCGGGCTTGCATTATTCACCTGATTAATACCTGTCCATGTCTGGTCAGCTTTTGGACCAGGAAATTGTACATGTTCACTTGTGGAGTTGCCAACGTCACCTCTTAATTCAGTCATTACTTTTATATTTACCTTTAATAAACTTGTTGTACTTTTAGTAATGTAATTTGCATGTTGCAATATATATTTTATTTTACTTTATGTGTGTGTTAGCACGATTACTTTCTCAGTTATTTATTTGGGTTAAATAAAGTACTCGTTTACCATCCCTTTTGTCTAGGAGGGAGGGGGGGGGGTGATGTGGGCTGTAGGCCTGTGAGCTTCAGTTTGGAACATCGTGTGACGATAAGTCTGTGTACTGTTTATTTGTTCAGTAGGGTAGATTAATTATTCTGGTGAGACTATTTGTCCATGTATATTGAGAACTTGTATATATTTTGTATATATATATTATATATATATATATATATATATATATATATATATATATATATATATATATATATATATATATATATATATATATATATGTATATATATACATATATATATATATATGTAGCACAAGAAAGGGTAACCCATGGACTCTGATTGATCAAGATAAGGTGGGGGGAAACGATGATCTTTTGCGTCCGCTAGCCTGCCAAAAGTTAGTAGCCAGAACTCACTTCTCAGCCTACTATGCAAGGCCCGATTTGCCTAATAAGCCAAGTTTTTCTGAATTAATATATTTTCTCAATTTTTTTTATGAAATGATAAAGCTACCCATTTCTTCATGTATGAGGTCAATTTTTTTTTATTGGAGTTAAAATATATGACCGAACCTAACCAACCCTACCTAACCTAACCTAACATATCTTTATAGGTTAGGTTAGGTTAGGTAACCAAAAAAAGTTAGGTTACGTAGGTTAGGTAGTCGAAAAACAATTAATTCATGAAAACTTGGCTTATTAGGCAAATCGGGCTTTGCATAGTAGGCTGAGAAGTGCGTTCTGGCTACTAGGTACGACATATATACATATACATACATATATACACACACACACACATTTTATGTGCATGTTCATCTATCCAGATCTTGTGATATTATTCTGTTTGTACCCGCTTAAGGGGCACTCTGATGTATTGCTTTTAGAGACAGTGACTTACCCTAGCCTATTCTTATCACTGTCCATTGATATACGAGCTGTGGGTACGAGCGTAGGTACCAAATACACGCCACAATTTACCTGTTCACCAGTACATACTCATCATTGGCATCATCACAATTTCCATCAACATTGTCAGTCTCAAATATCTGGCAAGCTCGTTTACATTCACTTCATCTTACTCATTCTTTTTGTAGTTAGAAACATTGGACATGCTTTGTGATGCATACAAGTTGGTTTCATATGCCAAAAATTTCAATAAATCTCGCAAATAAGTAATTGTAAAAATCCCAGAGGAGTGGTTGGTACTTTGACAGTCAAGCCTGGTGTCCCAGTAAAACTGTAGAAATGGTGCAGTGTGGTCAGTTGACCAGGCTTGAGCATTACTGGTCCGTCGGATTCGTGGGGGTACTAGTTCCAATTGAAGGGCCTGCACGTGTGGCTGTATTAATTTCTTTCTTTATTATGCACCCCATACCCATCCCGTGGGCGGTGGTGTAAAGGATTACAGAGGCACATAATCGGTTCAGGAACTGAACCCTCTAGTTCGTTTAGCTAAGCAAATAACAATCTTTTGACGCTAGTTACAAAATTATTAATGGTATATATACATGTACACATACTCATACATACATTTACATATATATACATATATACATACATATACATATTTAATCACCCACACAAATACACACATCAATAATCTTTTGTCACAAGTGATTCAGCAAGAGGCTCACAACAGTCACTATACAAGGCACTTTACATCTATGATGAGTCGCACAGTTACTAGTCTTGCTGCACACCCACCCAACTGGGCGGCAGCTTTACCTACAATAAGCAAATTTTGGATACTTCGATAAGATTTCGGGCAGAACATCGTTATGAATGAAGTACTTACATATTTATTGGACACTATTGATGGTGTTATATCAAAACTCCGCGATTTTTTTCACATTTCATTATGTAATGACGCAAAGTATGCCTGCTGTATCGATAGCCACATCAACATCACCATCCTCACTCCCCTCACTTTCAATCTCATCCCCAGCTGCTGTTTCATTTTCAACCACCTCACAATCTACATCATTTTCTGCACTATCAAGATCACTGCTTGAAATTTTGTTGGTGTGAGTTTCACTTTTCTATATTTTTGGCGAAAAATATTAGCTTTTCCCTCAAACATGTTTCTTTCACTGCTTTCGTCATGGATTTGCTCTGTTTATGACCACTATCCAACTTAGAGTAAATTTAGAAATTTAGTGTTTATAACGGCAGTAACAAAAATACACTAGGAAAAAGAATCGGAACGGGCACATGGTTGGACTGGAGGGCAGGCCGTGGCGGTCACCAGCGTGGTCACGATAACACTGCGGCGCTCCCGCCAAGGTGGCGACCGTCCACGCTGCGATAACATCACCAAGCCACAGTGTTTTAAAATTAATTAAAAGTGTGTGTGTACTTAGGTTTTTTGTATATTTGAAGTTTCATGAAATGTAAATTATCTGTCTTTCAAAAGAGTTAATACTACAAATACTACAAGTGGAACTCAGTCGACAAGTACGACCTCGAGCACAACAAGTACGACTCCAGTGTCCACAAGTTCAGTTCAGAGCATCACTAACACAGACACAAGTACGACGTCCAGCACAAGTACGACTCTAGCAGAATCCACAAGTTCAGCTCAGAGCATCACTAACACAGACACAAGTACGACCTCGAGTACAACAAGTACGACTCCAGTATCTACAAGTTCAGCTCAGAGCATCACTGACACAGACACAAGTACGACCTCCAGCACTACAAGTACGACCTCCAGCACTACAAGTACGACTCCAGAATCCACAAGTTCAACTCAGAGCATCACTAACACAGACACAAGAACGACCCCTAACACCCCAAGTACAACCATTAGTACGACAACAAGAGCAAACCCCAGCACCACCACAACAACAACCACCACGACCTCGACGCCGCCACAACCAGACTGCAGCTTCAGCACCTACAACAATGTCGTCTACTACTTTACCTCTCCCAACCTGGGCGTCAGGGACTACCCCAACAACTTCCAGTGTCGCCACGACAGTCTTTCAGTGAGTATAACCAGACAACACACGGAACAGTCTTTCAGCCCGGCCACTGATGGATTTACCAACAGTGCAACAGTAGTCAATTGTATCTTGTGAGAAATTCAAATGCATACTGTGTGTAGCCTACTAAGCCATTACGAACCTCAAGTCTTCTCGGTTTGTAAAAATTTGCTGATTTATTCTGTTTTTGTTATTTTCTGCAGGATAATCCGTCATTGGCAAAATTCAAATTAGTAAGTTTCCATCTACAAGACAAGCCCAAAAGAGGTGTATGTAGAGACTACGTCACGCTCCATCTTCCCTACGGTAAGACGGAAATGTAAGTTTCAGCAACATCAACACACCACCGGAGCGACATGCTAGCGGTCTGATGTTATGTTCACGTAAAAATGCACTTCACCATTGATATATAATCTATATCTTCCTCCTCTCTCACTTTGACAACGCTGATACAAAACCATCTTCTGTACGGTTATCCTTACAGCTTGTGTGGACAGCCCCGTCGAATCGTCTACAAGTCACCGACCTTCAGCTACGGAGTCTCCTTCCAGAGTGACGAATCCATCACTAGGCCTGGCTTTAACATCTCCATTACTCGCGTTACCTCCCCGTGCCATCGCGTGAGTTCTCTACTACGCTCCAGTCATCTACTCTCCTGCTGGATTGACTGAAGTTAGGAACAAAGATGAATCCTCCTTAGCTCAAGAATCATGATGAACGCCCTTAGATTAAGCCCCTGTGTGCGCCCTTTGACCAGGCAACACTGTACCGCCCTAGGGCCATATACCACACAGAGTCCGCTTAGGTCACGCTCCTCCGTGAGACCCATCGATCAGGTACTATGATGTCCTCCCAGTGATCAAGCGTACTATTATCATTTTCCAAAGAGAGGGCGTCGACAACATTTCTTATTGGTCTCCATCTTACTCTGTTTACTTCCTTACTAATTAATGTTGTTATATTGTTCGCCACTGTTACCATCTCTTCCCCACCCACGATTGTTTTGTAACTAATTTTGCCCCACGTTATGTTAATGAAGAGTATTGTTGTGACAGGTGATCAGAGCGCCCTGGGTGGGCAGTTCCGGGATCATTCAGACCCCGGGGTACTTGATCACACACACCAAGGGCACACTCTGCGAGTGGTGGATTACTGTAAGTATTAATTATTATACAGATAGAGCGACGGTCTCACTTCATGCAGGTCGGCGTTCAATCCCCGACCGTCCAAGTGATTGGCCACCATTCCTTTCCCCCGTCCCATCCCAAATCCTTATCCTGACCCCTTACCAGTGCTATATAGCCGTAATGGCTTGGCGCATTCCTCTGATACTTCCTTCCTTCCTACCTTCTTTACCCTGCCAACTTTATCCTTCCTACCATGCCCTACCTTCCTTATCCTGCCATCCTTACCCCGCCTTCCTTAACCTGCCATCCTTACCCCGCCTTCCTTACCCCGCCTTCCTTACCCAGTATATTTTATCAACTCTTCCTTACTTTACCTTCCTTATCCTGCCTGTATTACCCTACCTTCCTTACCTTACCTTACCTTCTTTACCTTGCCTTCCTTACCCTACCTTCCTTACCTTATCTCCTTCACCTTGCCTTCCTTACTCTGACCTCTTTACTCATACCTTCCTTACCTTATCCCCTGCACCTTGCCTTCCTTACCCTACCTTCCTTACCTTATCCCCTGCACCTTGCCTTCCTCATCCTCCCTTTCATACCCTGCCTTCGTTCCCCTGCTTTCCTTAATTTGCCTTCCTTACCCTATCATAGTTACTCTGCCTGCCGTCTTTATCCTATCTTCCTTATCCTGTTTTCGTTACCTTACCTTGCTTAACCTACCTTGCTTACCCCTACCTTGTTTATCCCTACTTTGCTTACCCCTACCTTGTGTATCCCTACTTTGCTTACCCCTACCTTGTTTATCCCTACTTTGCTTACCCCTACCTTGCTTACCCTACCCTGATTACCCTACCTTGCTTTCCCCTACCTTGCTTACCCCTACCATGCTTACCCTACCCTGATAACCCTACCTTGCTTTCCCCTACCTACCCCCTGGACGGCACGCGCGCACACCCCGGGGAACCCCCAGAACCCTTTGTGACTACACACCTGCGCACCACCTGAGCAACAGGGGCCTAATTGGCTCACCTGCTCAGGTGGTGCGCACGGTCGTAGTCGCATTTTACCCTACTGTTCTCAAGGGAGACTATGGAATGCTAGGTGAAAGTGCTCAAGGGAGACTATGGAAGGCTAGGTGAAGGTGCTCAAGGGAGACTATGGAGGGTTAGGTGAGGGTGCTCAGAGGAGACTATGGAAGACTAGGTGAAGGTGCTCAGAGGAGACTATGGAGGGCTAGGTGAGGGTGCTCAGGGACTATGGAAGGCTAGGTGAGGGTGCTCAAGGGAGACTCTGGAAGGCTAGGTGACGGGGCTCAGGGACTATAGAAAGCTAGGTGACAGGGCTCAGGGACTATGGAAGGCTAGGTGACGGGGCTCAGGGACTATGGAAGGCTAGGTGACAGGGCTCAGGGACTATGGAAGGCTAGGTGACGGGGCTCAGGGACTATGAAAGGCTAGGTGACAGGGCTCAGGGACTATGGAAGGCTAGGTGACGGGGCTCAGGGACTATGGAAGGCTAGGTGACGGGGCTCAGGGACTATGGAAGGCTAGGTGAGGGTGCTGAGGCCTATGGAAGGCTAGGTGAGGGTGCTGAGGCCTATGGAAGGCTAGGTGAGGGTGCTGAGGCCTATGGAAGGCTAGGTGAGGGTGCTGAGGCCTATGGAAGGCTAGGTGAGGGTGCTGAGGCCTATGGAAGGCTAGGTGAGGGTGCTGAGGCCTATGGAAGGCTAGGTGAGGGTGCTGAGGCCTATGGAAGGCTAGGTGAGGGTGCTGAGGCCTATGGAAGGCTAGGTGAGGGTGCTGAGGCCTATGGAAGGCTAGGTGAGGGTGCTGAGGCCTATGGAAGGCTAGGTGAGGGTGCTGAGGCCTATGGAAGGCTAGGTGAGGGTGCTGAGGCCTATGGAAGGCTAGGTGAGGGTGCTGAGGCCTATGGAAGGCTAGGTGAGGGTGCTGAGGCCTATGGAAGGCTAGGTGAGGGTGCTGAGGCCTATGGAAGGCTAGGTGAGGGTGCTGAGGCCTATGGAAGGCTAGGTGAGGGTGCTGAGGCCTATGGAAGGCTAGGTGAGGGTGCTGAGGCCTATGGAAGGCTAGGTGAGGGTGCTGAGGCCTATGGAAGGCTGGGTTAGGGTGATGAGAGGAGTCTGGCGTGCTTGTTTATCAGCTTACAGTGGTGTGAGTACGACAAACATTGTCGATGTTTGACAGCATCATAATAGCTGGCTGTTGTTGAGTTGTGTTACCCTCCGCTGCTAGAGCTGTGCTCGTACTCTCGTCACAGTAAATAATAATCACCTAGCCTATCACACTTCAGTCCTATCTAAGGGGTATTTAAGTAAAAACACTGTTACATAAAAGTACCAGTTTACTCTTGAGAAAGGGACACCGATTCAGTAATATATTCAGAGATAATATCATGGCTCAATAATTATAATTAACCACTACTGAGGCTGATGACCACTGACATAAATAATTATATGGATGACTTATACACTGTATATTTACTTATCCAGACTCATTACAAACATTCAAGCACAGAATTAAACAAACAAAGAACTTAAGAAAACACGACCAGTGAGAGCGGCCCACAGCCAATTACTGACCCGTCCTCTCGCTCAGACGCCTGACGCCCTCACATTAGCCATAACTAACCTGACAAGAATTCTTAACAGACACACTTACATACAGCAATCATTACTCCCAGACACGTTTACACAAACGTATGTTCTACCTTATATATTCTTGAAAATAACTCTGTAATAATATAGTTGTTAAAGATAGAATAATATATGATATAACATAATGCAAACTTGGCAACAGCGACGCGCACACCTGACTCTCTCCTCACACGTGTAATACAGGTACACTTATGCACGCCATCATCACCACTCCCATACAATGTACAAAAATTACAATACACTATAATATGCAATAAACTGTATGACTGTTCCAATACTACATAACATATAATTATGCATACATTAACAATAGTGAGAATCAGGTAATTACCTGATTCATAACAAGTAATTATTAACTTTAACTTGCCTACAAGTAGTATTTCCCCACAATTTCCTAGCAGCTCTCAGAAAACTGAACATCACTGACATTCGCCGTAGTTCTTGTGCTAATTAAGGCAAAATAAATCGCTAGAGTTTCTGCTTTCCCAGGCACCAAGAGGCAGCAGGGTGCGTGTTGACAAACTAAACGTCAACACGGACTCCACCACCGGCTGCCAGAAGGACTGGGTCGTGCTCAACACGAAGGGCAATAAGACCTACCCGGTGGGCTCCAGCCAGATTTACTGCGGCACCAAGGTCCTCATCAGACCCCTCACCTCTAAAAGCAACAAGCTTTTTGTAGCCTACTACGGGAGGAGGTACAAGAGCAAAGGCATGAAGTTGAAGTACACTGTGATATAAGGAGTCGTCTTGGCTGCTACCTTCAAGGCCTGTCCACGAGAGGCGGGGATGGCCATCATAACTTGCTATCCATGTGGAAAGCTTGTTAATAGTAAGGCTTGCACAACGTTTCGTTTTTAAGAGTGTTCAGAAATTAAATTTTTTGCAACTGACTTAAGTTTAATGTGTCTGGATTTTATTAGGAAGATTTTAAATAAATTTGCTTAGCATCGATATTCTTTGATTTCCCACTTTAGTCTGCACAAGGAATATTGAGCTGGAGGATAAGATTGCAACTGCTTACAATTAGCTGTGGCACCCACTAACATCTCTACATTCCCCGAATTAGTGTTTACCTTAGCGGCTGTGGGGCGCTTGCCGTCATCTCGTTATCTTGTCCAACTCGAATATTTATTGTTTTTACCGGCGTCTGTCATGATAAAATAATTACCTGCCAAAACATCTAAACAACCAGTACTCACATTAAACAACCCGTCCTCATACTATACAACCGGCCCTAACACTAAACAACTTTTCTTCCCGCTAAACAATCACTCGCAATATATTACCCCTTCTCGCATTAAACAACCAGTCCTGGCACTAAACAACGAGTCACCACACTATACAACCAGTCATCACAATTGTCGGGAATTAATATGTGAGTTAATATCTCGCCGGGATAATATCGTGAGTTAATATTAATATCGTTAATATTATCATTAATGTTATTTATGTTAATAATAACATTTAAATATTTATTAAATTTATCTTAATTTATATAGTTTAGTTCATTTATTATGCAGCCCATACCCATCTTGTGGGCGGTACTGGAAAGGGTTACAGAGGCATATAATGGGCTCAGAGACTGAACCACACAATTCATTTAGCTAAGCAAGATACAATCTTGATGAACCAGTTACAAAATTCACTATAAGTCGTCACATCAACAGTGGGTTCGAGATCGACTACAATTACAGTTTCTAAATTAATCAACTGACATATGTGGAGAGCTAGTGTCACAATTGATATGTTTGTCCTGCACACTGCCCCCCCCCCCCCCCTTCCATCCAGTGGGCAGCGGTGGATAGGTTACAATCACTTAGTTATATAGTAATTTATATTTTACGTTAATTTATATTTATTTCGATAGCAAACTGTAATGGTTAAAGTGGCCTGTATTTCTTAAAATGTCTCACAAATCGCTTCCTTGCACATTCTGGGGGGTTTATGGTTTATATGTGGTCAACAATATAAATTATTGGTTAGTAAACATAGACTCTAGTATTAGACTACATATGTTAAAACTAAAATGGGGGGGCCTTATCTTATTGTTTATTTTGGCCTAGACAACCAGTATGAACACGAATGAACAAGCCCGTCGATCCACTTTGTGGGTGTGGCCTTCAACTCATGTACTGGAGTACTAAGTTACTAGTGTTAATTCTTGTTCCTCTTCTGTTCTACCTGTCAAAGGGCACTCACAAATAACAGCAGTAATCCTAATATGACGGCTATATCAGGGGAAATAAAGTATATTGATTGTGAGATAAGGACCCAGGAATAATTTACCTTTGTTATGTCGCTGTCTCGTATCCTAACCGGAATATATCCTAAATCTAAATATTAAAGGCCTCTAATAAGCTAGATAATATAGGAATCGAGAAAGTCACCTCCCTTGATAGTAGACGTAGTTGTATGTTCATAACGGAAACACTACTTCCATAACACAGCCTTCCAAGGGAGAATTATCAGAGCTAGATTTGCCTCAGCGACTGATGTTAAAATTATCGGCCGACTCTATCTGTGGCCCTCCCTCCCTCACGCATCCTGGCTCTCTTGTCCAGATGTCAAAAGTGGTTAGAGGGCCTACATTTACTCGAATTTGGTACTGATAATTAAGTTGATTCAAGGACAATCTTTTTATGACGTTTACAGTCCAAAGACTGTTGTATTAAGAATAATTCTCATTAATATGTGGTGACATTAATGACATGTGGCAATAATATCTCGTTTCCTACGGGGAGGAAATTTCCACTGTGCCATATCTTCTATGAGTGAATTTGTTTATTACAAACCAGCAGCAATATTATCTGCCTATTGTATTAAATATTAGTAAATGGTGTCGGTTTTTCCGACAATATACAACCCTTCTCACACCAAACAACTTGTCCTAACACTAAAGAACCCTTACTCACACTAAACCATCAGTCCTCACATTAACAGCCCGTTCTCACACTCAACAACCCGTCCTCACATTAAACAACCCGTTCTTACACTAAATAACCCGTCCTCACACTAAACAACCCGTTCTCACACTAAATAGCCTGTCCTCACACTAAAGAACATAAGAACATAAGACTAGTCAGTCAGCACCTGACTGACTAGTCAGTCAGGTGCTGTCACAGTGAGAGGTTGTGTTAGCTGGAGCTCTGGAGTAACATTATTATTGCAATAATGGAAGGATTAGTAAATGATTTGGTGAGTTTGGTTGGAGCTCTGAGAGCAGAGATGGATTCCCTGAGGGAGGAGGTACGACGGCTGAGACTTCGAGAGGAAACGAAGGAAGAGACCAGTGTTGACGAGACCTCATCGTGGAGAGTAGTGAAAGACAGGGGTCTTAAGAAGACCTTGACAAGGCCGCCTACAGACGCCCTAAGGACGGCAAATTCATTTGCCGTGTTGGAGGACGAGTGCTGTAGTGCGCCTGCAGCGAGGAAATCAGCGAGGAACGGCGGAGCGCAGGCCCCTCAGGCTGCTCAGAAAGTTAAGGCGGTACCGAAGCGAATTTTGGTTGTGGGAGATTCCCAGGTGAGGTATTTAGACAGAACGTTTTGTGCCAGAGATAGGGGGGAACAGATTAAGGGTTTGCTATCTGGGAGCTGGAATTGGTGATATTGTTGAAAACATGAATGATATTATGACGGGAAATGGGAACAAACCCATTATTTGTATTAGTGCAGGGGGTAATGATGTTGGGCGAGTTAGGAGTGAGGAACTAACAGAGATTTAGGACAGCCATTGAATTAGTTAGGAGCAAGGGAGGAATCCCGATCATATGTGGCATTCTTCCAAGAAAGGGAGTGGGAAATGAATGGATGTCGAGGGCACTTGGTGTCAATTGCCGGCTGGAAAGATATTGCAAATCAAATGCAATATCTTTCATAGACAACTGGGAACGCTTCTATGGAAGAAATGAAATGTATGCTCGTGATGGGGTGCATCTATCGAGGGCTGGGGTTGTTGCTGTTGCGCACTCGTTGGAATCAGTGGTTAGAGGTGTTTGTTTGGGTTTAAACTGTTAGTAGATAGTGGTATGGGAATTGATTTGGAGGAAGGAGGTAATAAAAGTATGTGTTCGTGGGAGAAAAGAATTGGCAAAATGATCAGGGAAACAAAAGGGCCTCAAAATAACAATTCACTTAGGATATATTACACTAACAGTAGAAGTTTAAGAAATAAAATTAATGAATTAAATGCTCTTGTCTGCACAGAAAAAATAGATATTATTGCACTTACCGAAACGTGGATGAATGTAGAAAATAGAGAACTATTAGCTGAATATCAGATAAATGGATTTAAACTATTTCACACAGATAGATATATTAGACGAGGAGGGGGAGTAGCCATATATGTTAGGGACAATTTGAAATGTAGTCTCAAGGAGGGAATCAAAACAGCCACACACAGAAACTATTTGGATAGAATTAAACGAAAAAGCAAATAATATTATAATAGGAGCTATATATAGGCCACCAAATTTAGACAGAATTGAAGCAAAGCATTTATGGGATGAAATATCTAGAGCATCTAGATCTAACAGTATTTATGTCATGGGTAACTTTAATTTTAGTGGAATAAACTGGGTGAACAAAACAGGGAATAGTGAAGCAGAAGATTTTCTAGAAATAATTGACGATTGCTTTCTTACGCAACACATTAAGGAACCAACGCGAGAAAATAATATTTTAGATTTAGTGTTAACTAACAGGGAAACACAAATTAATGACATCGAAATAGGGAGTGAGCTAGGGAACAGTGATCACAAAGTTATCAGATTTAGCATAGAATGGAATAGACCTGTAGGAGAAAATTCTGTTAAAGTGCCAGATTTTCGAAAAGCTGATTTTAATAGCCTAAGAAATTTTTTGGGTCAAATAGATTGGAAAGTCTTGGGTATGGGGTGTGGGCCGGTCTTGGAGCGAGACATGAACCCAGCGATAGGTGACGTAAAAGGGGATTTCGATGTGGATTTAATATATAACTTATTTAAGAATATTCTAAACAAAGCACAGGAACGTAGTATACCATACAAATTGAATAGATCGAATACTAATGACCCAAAGTGGATAACAAATAATTTAAAGAACCTTATAGGCAAGAGAGCTTGGTACAAAAGGATTAAGAATGGGGAAGTCAGTTTAGAACAGGAATTCATACAACTGGTTAGAAATGTTAAAAAAGATTAGGAAAGCAAAAAGAAACAACCCAGCAAACATTTTCACGTTTTTAAAACATCCTAAAAACGACATTTCATTGTTTTCAGCACGTTTATAATTACGTTTAGAAAAGGTTTTTTGAGAACTTTTATATACAACCTTAGAACGTAAATAATTAACATTTCTAAAAACTTTTTTATAATCTTTTAATTACCTACATTAAAACGTTTAGGGTAAATTAGGGTATAATAATTTTTTAATTCATATCTGAAATAGAAAGGGAGAGAAAGAAAGAAGACATATCTGAGAAAGAAATGGACATCCTATATATGCATGTGTAAATTACAAATAAATAGGGTACAAAAGAGAATTAAAATATTATATTTATTTAATTAAGAATGAGTAATACAACAAAATATATGTAATAGCTCGAAATATATAGACTATATCTATAACAGAATATAAAAGTAAAAATTTAAAAATCTATAAAAATCTATATATGCAATATGTGAACACAATAGATTTTGTGATCAAGCAGCCTGTGATTCATGTCATGCTGAGATCAGTCTGACGTTACAAGCAGTTATTGTTACTTAAAACTAAAACAAGTAAAATTTTCCGAGTATACATATAACACTATAGTTTTTCTATGACTTAGTTTTTCTTTTATATCTATGACTATTCTATGATATAAAAATCTATTAATCAAAAGTTTAGGACTAATTAACTAAAAATAAAAATCTACAAGTGAATGTAAACAGTCAAGTATAATATTCATGTAGAAAGAGAAAGAAAAAGAGAGAGAGAAGGAAAGAAAGAGAAAGAAAAAGGGAGAAAGAGAGAGAGAAAGAAAAGAAAAAACAGTCATGTATAATATTCATATTAGCACCATGCA